GAGCCTGAACAAGCTCCGGCCTCTGCAGCCCTCCCACCCCAGACACTCAGTGCTGCTGCCCCAGAGATGCCAGCAGGGACTTCGACAAGGAGCTGCCAGAGCTGCCTCCCGTTGCAGAGTGAGGTTTGTGTCTGGGCAAGCTCCTCTGAACCTCTGTGAGCTGCACGTGTGAGATGGGGCACAGGGTCGGGATAAGGCAGAAGCACCCTGTGCCCGCCTGAGCTAGGGATTCCTCTGCTGGTAAATCCAGCAGAACAGCCCCCTCCTGAGTGACAGGTTTCTGGTAATAAGATCTGGAGAGGGGCCCAGAAATGCCACCTCAGCCTGCGCAAATACCATTCTCTTAATCCTGATGATGTCTGTCCTGAAGGTATGTCAGCTGGACCGTTTTCTACTTTACTCACTTTTGTCCGTGCATCATAAGAGTTAGGAGCAGAGGTTAACTGTCCAAGCTGACTAGCTGTTGTTTCTGTCATGCCCTTTCCAGACGGTTGTTCCCTATCATGAAACGGTTTACTCCTTCCCTACGCTTCAGGGGTTTGCAGTGACATTGCACACGCAAGAGAAACATCATGGTCCAGGTGTGAGAGAAACTTGTACAAGTCCTGGGGACGATGTTCAGCGTCCCTCGGAGGGACACGGGCGGCTGCAGTGGTGGCTGGCGGTTCCCCTGCTGCTTCCTGCCTCCCTCCAGCTCGGGTGGGGTCCTCCGCTCTCCCTGTCTCACCCACCTTCCCTCTGGCAGGCAGGCCTTTGTGTCACGCCGACTCTCTGCCCGTTGGGGCCCTCCCCATCGTGAGGCTCTTCATACCCCAACTTCTGAAGAGCAAACTCTGACCCTCCCCTGGGCCAGACCTTCCCGAGGCCGCGCCTGGGAGGGTGCCGGGGTCGCTGCTGGCTCAAAGCCCGGCACAAGCTCTGCCCCTTGGGCTGCGGAGGGGGCGGCCTCCAGGGAAGCCGCAGCCTTTGACGGGTGGTGTTGTCGCCAGGGCAGGGCTCGTGGTGCGGGCAGGGCCGTGGTGCGGGCAGGGCTCGTGGTGCGGGCAGGGCTCGTGGTGCGGGCAGGGCCGTGGTGCGGGCAGGGCCAGCAGTGCAGGGCCCGGTGTTTCTGTGCCGACAGCCAGCTCTGCTGTGGGGCGGAACTTGGCACGATGGCGGCTCAGTTTGACTATTTCACCAGGTCTGTTTGCTCTTAGTGCCACTCACTTTAACCTCTAATGTCGCTAATTGCTGCTTCTTTCGTAATTGTGACCCTGGAGTTGTCAGGTCTGGTCTTTGGACCATGGTACTGCCAGAGCTCATCGTTACCAGGATCTCTGAGTCTGTCACCAGTGCTTTAATTCCTGTCTCTGCCACTCGTCACTCTCTGGGCTGGATGCTAATGAGCACTGTATTAGTGTCAGAAGCGTGTTTTTTGTATCAGTGGGATCTGCATTATCCTCCCCTTCCAGACAATGATCAGCCAGGCAGGGTCAGGGATCCTTAACCTGTCTCTGAGCCTCAGCTGAGTGGGGACCTGCAGGGGACTCGGGAATATTGCTGTGGTTTATCAATCTTCAAACAAAAAAATCCTCTGATTTTCTTTCAGGGGAGAGGGTCTGATTTCATGCTGGGAGGATGAAGTCAGCCTCTGAACTCGTGGTGGTTCAGATCATTGTCTCCCTGATGTGCAGCTCTTGCAGTCTGAGAGGCTGCAGTGGCTCATTTCCCGGTCTCCCGCTCACGGGCCGGCCAGCACAGGCGGTGAGGAGGGCACTTGCATATTCTGGTCTGTCCTGTGCCAGGCATGCTGAGCTATTGCTCTTCAAACGTTGCCTTCCGCCCTTTTATAAAGGCACCCCAAATCTTGGGGACCCGTGCCTGCAGTTTCCTGTGCTCATGGTTCCTCGTCTCTGGGAAGCCTGTTGGTGGCGACGCCTGTCCTGGGCTCAGGGAGGCCCAGCGCTTGCAGCGGGGGCATCCTGGGCGGTCTGGCAAGCAGGATGCGCCCGCAGGGCCCCCGGGGGCTGCCGTGACCACGCAGGGCGGAGGCGGCCTGGGCACGGCGGCCGCCGGTGAGCACGAGTGGGGTGTCAGCGCGGGCGCTCTGTCCTCCCGAGCAGCCCGGGGCTGATCGTCAGCTCAGTCGGGGAGATCCCGGGCCCGGTCCGGGACCTGCCCGTTCCCACTGGGCCAGACGCGCGGCTCTGTGGCCGAGCTGTGTTGAGTAAAAGGACCGTGGAAGAAAAGTTTCCGTCTGAGTCTGCCCCAGTCGGATAGAGGGAGTGGGCACGACCTTTGGGGCTGTTTAACTGCTGCTCTCCAGTGTTCCCTGCGGCTGAATTCCTCATGTTAACTCTGCCATTGTTTCTCTGGGCTGATTTCCCCTTTTCTAATAGTGGGAAATATTTCAGGGTGACTCTGTGCCCTCTTGTTGCATCTGCAGAGGAAATGGTGGCTCTGGAGTGTCTTGGATGTCTCGGAAAACCAGCCGAGATTTTTGCGGGCTCACCATGGGGACGGGCCTCGCCTCTGCACCAGGGTGTCTGGGACAGCTGCCACCTCGGGCCTTTCATTCTCGGCCAGGTTTTCAACGCAGCGGTTTTATGCCTTTGCCTCGGTGGGCCCTGGGAGGAGACAATGGCGGGGCTGTCGCAGGCTGGGGGCCTTTCTCATGCAAATGCCTGCTGGCAGCGGGAGAGCCCTGAGCCCCGGAGCTCGGCCCGGGATGGGGCTGAGGGCGGGGGGCACCCCCGGCTCTGCCCTGGCTGTTGCCGTCTCCTTTCCCCGCAGCGTTCGGCACCGCCATGGTCCGATCTGGGAGCGGCTGGGGGGTTGCTCCCTGTCTGCCAATTGTACAGAGCTTTCGTTTTCCATCTTAAAGGTGTAATACAAATAAATTACGTTATTTTTATTATTAACACCTTCATCATCATCCGTCCTAGCCATCGCCTCCACCCGGCCTGGGCCAGGCCGGGGCGCTGGCGGGGGAGCGCACATGGTGACGGGACGTGCGCGTCCACCTGCCCGCGGGGTGGGAAGGGCTCGGCGCCTGCCCGGCCTCTGGTCAGCAGCGGCTCTGAGGAGTTCCTTTGTCACTAAAGGCCGCTTGGAGCTGTTCGTTCCGCTCCAGAAAGCCCTGCCTGACCTCGGGAAAGGCTGTGCACCTGTGCTGGGGCGCAGCAGCTCCCAAGGGCCTGAGCCCCCATCTCGGGCAGCGCCGGAGGGCCACGCGCAGGCGGAGCTCGGCGAGGGGCCGCGGGGCCCGGTGGCAGCGGAGAGGATGGTCTCCGCGTGTCCGCTGCTGGCTGCGGGCACCGCAGGCTTCTCGCCCCGTGCAGGGAGAGGATGCAGAGACGGCCGCGCCTTGGTCCTGCTCTGACAGCGCTGCCCACCGACAAGGGCTCGGCTGAACCGGCAGTGGGATCTGCCTAGCGGGCAAGAGATCCTCTGCAGTCTCGGAAGGCTGCTGCTCGTCTGGCACCGCTCTGCGGGGAGGTAACCCGAAGCTCTTCGGGTTTGTGGATGCAGCACTCCAGAAAGCTGGGTTGAATTTCTGCTTCGTTCTGTGAAGGATGTTCTTGGCTGTCCCTGCAGAAAGCAGCATGTGCTGCAGCGTTGCTGGCTCTGTGGGGAGAGTTTACAGCGAGCGAGCCCTGCGAGACAAGTGCAATGCTGAGAAATTTAAGTCTTGGCAGTGCTCGTCTCTGTGTCAAGCCAGAGCTGGCTGGGGCTGCGGGAGCCCCGTGCAGAGCAGATCATGGCTCTGCATGCGTATGTGCTCTCCTGGTTTGTAACGTGCTGTTGTTGGAGGGAGGGTCCCCGCGTGCGGAGCCTCATCTCTCACAACAGCTATTAAGGAACAAATGAAGACTAACACTATGTTGGTATAGATGAATCTGCACATTTCAGTCCCCTGCTTGAGAGGGGCATCTCAGAGCCACAGTGAGGCATTTCGAGGGGCTGCTGGCTGATAAGAACGCAGAGCTACTCATGGCTGTATCCGCCCCTGAATTGCAGATAACAACTGCACGGATTTTATTTTAAAGCTGGTTTTTGGCTTGCTCCAATTTTCTCTCTTTAATCACAAACAGATGCACATAGGTCCTGTTTCTTGCAAACCTGGGTGCCAAGTGGGAGAATGACTCATGCAGCAAAGGACGGCTGGGTCTGCAGACACGGGCCTTGGGTGCATGTGTGTGAAGTGCCAGACTGTGGGTCTCTGGGGTGTGTTGCTGGAGTATCTGAAAGGTGTCAAGTGCTCAGAGTTGATAAAACTGAAGACCTGGAGTTGAGGGAGCTTGAGGCTTTTGTGTTTGGGTTTTATTTTTAAATTGTTGTAGTCAATGAAAAAGCAAGAGATGCAAAAAGTAGAATAATCATCCCCCAAACAGAATGTTCCAATTCAGTAGAGACCTCTCTAAAACAGCCAGAGCTGACCTAGGTCTGGGGCACGGCAGCTCTCCCGCCCCGCGGGGCAGCGCTGGCCGGGGCCGTGCCCTGGGCCGGGGCAGAGGCTTCCGCAGCCAGGCCGGCGCGCGGGCTGTTACCTGCTGCTGCCGAGCGGAGCGGCCAGCCAAGGTGCCAGGGGCTGCTCCTGCTCGTGGAGCAGAAAGTTAATGAATGCAAAGGCCATTTTGATCTCATTAAGAAAATTAAGTTCTTGACCTAATGCATCCCTTCCCTCAGTTCTTCCCGTCAGCACAGGCGGTCTTTGCTCCTGTGGTCCTGGGTGGTGAGAGCACGAGTCCTGGCACGATGGTGGGATGGTGGAGGTTCTGCAGGATAACGGAGGGGCCGTGCTCGGGGATGGTGGAGGTTCTGCAGGATAA